CTAAGCAGGGCCTGGGAATGGAGCAAGCTAGCCAAAGCGGAATGGGATCAAGTAGTGGAGCCGGAAAGAGAGGGGATGGATTCCAGGTGCTCCGTGAACAGGAGTCTTGTTCTTCACCTGAGGGGAGCCGCTGGGTGCGGCCAGGCCCTGCCCAAACGTCAGGTCCCTCTCTTCACAATCGGTTCCCCTCTGCCTGCCCCCCTCAGGCCCTCCCATCCCCCAGGGCCACGGTCCCCCGGGGAGCAACACAGTTCGCAGTGCCCTTGAAAAGCCCCTCTGCACAGGCAAGGTGGCAAGGCTGAGGGACAGCCCTACCCGAGTCCCACAGAGAGCCCTGCCCAACCCTGCAGGGAGCCAGGGCCTGGTCCAGCCAAGGGGGGCTTTGTTTCCAACGCAGACAGACATGGACCTGGGCCCCCCTCTGCCACCCCATCCCAGGTCCACAGGGAACAGGCTGGCCACTTGTCTGTCACCCAGGACACCCCCGACCAGGCCCACAGCAGGAATGGGCAGCCGGCCAGGGGGGTGCCGGCTCGCCCTGGCGGCCCAGACAGAACCGGAGGTGCAGAGCGCCAAGTCACCGGCAAGGCCCCGGAGTGGCGCCTCTGATAAACCCAGCTCCAGCCCAGGATGTGGCTAATCCCGTTAATCTCTGGAGCCAGGTCAGCTCAGTGGGAGCAGGTGGACAGGGCTCTGCTTCTGCAAGACCCAGAAACCCCTGGGCCAAGGGCAGGTGATGGCCCAGTGATGGCCCCGCATGTCCTCGCCTGTGCTGCTTCACGGTGTCACCTTGAGGGGTCACCCTCGGTGCCTCAGTTTCCCCAGCGGCATCAGGAGGTGCCAGCTGTCACCTCTCTCTGCCCAATGTGGACCGAGGCCCAAGACCCCCAGCACGAAAGGCCTTCAGCCATGGCCTTCAGTGTGACCAGCTTCGTGCCCAGGTGGGGAAGCACCGCGCGCTCATCTCTCCAGGTCTCAGCCTGAGCCCCTGAGCCCCTGGGTCAGTGGGAACCCCAGCCATGGTTTTCCAGGCCTCTGGATGCCAGGGAAGCAGGGCGAGGCAGGCTCCGGTCTCCAGCGGGGGTGAGGTTCTATCCCCTGCAGGCCTTTGAGCTCCTCAGGGGGGTCTGAAGTCGGAAGGGAAGGCAGGGTGACCCGTCCACCCAGGCTGGGGAGAGTAGAGCTCCCCAGGGACCTCCTCACCCCGCCGACCTTCCCACTGCCAATGACGCCAGCCAGCTATGTGGCCACAGTGGGCGCTGCCCCCGAGGGCCATGCCAGACAGGGGGAGTTCCTGATGGCCTCCACCAGGGACCGCCCCTGGGCTCGGAGACCCCAAGCTTTGCAAGGGAGATGGACAATAAAAATCAGATGAGATGCAGCCCGTCTCTTTCCCACACAGGGCCTGGGCTCCTGCAGGAAGGACTGCGGTTAAGGTCTCCACCTCCACATGGCACCCGGGTGGCCCGCCGGGCACCGTGTGGGAATCCCAGCACAGGTGGAGCTACTGGCCAGGGTGGGTGGCAGGGCGCAGAGCGGCTGAGAGCCAGGCCTGAGCTCGTCAATGCTGGTGGCCAGGAGGTGTCTCGGGGGCTTGGGAATCCACAGGCCTGTGGTGGCAGAGGGCACAGCAGGGGCGTCTCCTTCCCCCCAGAGAGAATGCACCGGATCCCAGCCAGGGCCTCGCATACCCACGGAAACGTTTTCCATGGAAGGCGAGGATCAGGTAAGGGAGGCGCTGCTGAGAGGCCACCTCTGAGGCCACAGACCCTGTCGGGGTGCCCCCTAGAGGCGCTGGCACTGAGCAGCCTGAGGCACCGTCCAGCACCCAGCTCTGCTCAGGCGCAACTCTGTGACCAAGGGCAAACCTCAACCTCTCTGAGCTCGGTTCCCACCAACAGGAACAGACACTCTAGGAGCAAGGAGGGGTCAGGCCCTGCAAAGCTTGAAGCCTGTCCCCCAGGTCTCCGGGGAACAGGACAGAGAGACAGCAGTCCCCAGTAACAAGAATGATCAGAGAGCACTCCCAGGACGACGGGGTGTGTGAGCCCAGCCCTGCCTGGTCTCCTCTCTCCAACGGGCTCCCAAGGCCACGAGACCTAGAGGACAGTCACTTGCCCATCACACAGCAACCCAGACTGGCCAGGCTTTCAAGCCAGAGTGACCCAGAGCTGCTCCAGCCCCGAGTGACATCAGGACATGACTCTCTTTCCTTGAGAAGTCTGTGTCCTGCAATGTGGAAGGCCCAGTGCTCAAGAAGGGTGGGGGGCATGTGACGGCAGGAAGGCCGGTCACAGGTGTGTCTAGAGACCGACAGGCCAGGGGCTGCCCCACTCACCTCCCCAAGGCCTCAGGGACTGTGAGTTTGCTCTGTAATCCACAAAAGTGGCTCTGAGGAGCAGGTCCTAGCAATGCCACTGCTTGTCAGCCCTGAGTGCCACTGTTCCAACCTTACCACCAAGTCCCAGAGGCCTAGAGCACTGCCCCTGGTCTGCACATCTACACAAGCTGCTGGCCCCCTCCAGCAAGCCAAGGGGAGCCCCAGGGTCAACATGAGGCACACCACAGGGGTCAAGTGCAGGCAAAGTCCCTGGGAGAAGCCAGAGGCCCCATGAAGGAATTCAACCACCGCTACTTCTCCCCATTCTATGGATGAAGAAACTGAGGATCTGAGAGATTTAAGCCCCCGCCCAGGGTCACATGGGGTGTGAGCAGAGAAGCCAACTCCAGAGTGCACTCTCTGAGCATCAATTCAACTTGAGACGTTACCAATTCCAGAGTCCTGCCTGGGCTCCCCCAACCTGATACCTCCAACGCCCTAGAGAGCCAGACAAAACCTATAACTCCCCTGAGTTCCTTCACCTGAAAAACGGGGAGCCACAAGTCCCACATAATGTGCTCGCTGAAGATAATAGCTGGGCTTTCCTCCCCAACAATGTCCCTGCCTAAGAACCCCCTCCCGGCTCGGCACAGACTCTCTCCCCTCCAGAACCTGGAGACCCTTCACCCCTCACCCACCCCTGCAGAGCCCCAGGTCAGGAAGCACCAGGCCAGGAAGATAGGGCGCCTCGCTGCGGTGGGGCCAACTTGAGAGCGCACAGGTCCCTGACGCAGTCACGGCAGTGGTCAGTGGTCAGAGAAGATGAGAACCAGCAGCAGAACCAGTCCCCAGGAGCAGCGCTGTGGGAGTGCAGGTGTGTGGCGCGTGTGACCAAATCACAGGTCAGTCTAGAAGCAGGCGTGGAACTTTATTCACCGCAGGCCAAGGGGCAGCGACCAAGTCAACTCTGCACCCTTGGACCCTTTGCAGAAGTTAGAGTGCATCTTTTATAGCCAAAACCCACAAGCTACCAGTAAATCAAAACCATAGCAACGTGGAAGTGGGTCAGAATGATCCAGTTCAGGGTGCAGTCAGGGTACATTGCCCAAGAAAAATGGGAACTGAAAAGAGAACATCTTACAAAAGCATTTCTTAATAATACATTGTATAAGAATAAAAGAAACGTTTTTCAGCAGCTTGGCCTTGGCCAAACAGGACGTGGGTAGCTGGAGGTGGGCTACAGAGGTGGAGTTTTCACAAGGGAGAAATTTCTTATATGAAATGGAGTCTGGGGTAAATGGAGTCTGTCTGGTCAAGGCACATACACTCGGGCCCACAACACAGGAACTTACTCTAGGCCACGGTCCAGAAGGAGTGCGTGCGGTTCAGAGTGTCAGCTTGGAGTAGGCCTCATGGTTGTGACCAGCAGGAGAAACCCAGCTCCCCTGAAGCCTGGGGATACATTCTTTTTTATACTTTTTAGTTATACATGGACACAATATCTTTGTTTATTTATTTTTTGTGGGCTGAGGCTCAAACCCAGGGCCTTACATGTGTGAGGCGAGCGCTCTGCCACTGAGCCACAACCCCAGCCCCAGACCCCTTTTATGGCCTGACTGGGGGAGTTGCCCCATGACATGGCCTGGTGAGTGTGATGAGCTCGTGGGCCTGATTTTTCCGATATGAGTTTGGCACGCCTGTGTGCCCGTGTGCTTCTGATTAATTCGGTAAATCCACAGGTGTCACTTTTATTAGCATGACTAACTTATTAGTTTGTGCCTTATGGCTGTGCTAGACAGATGGTGGCTGTTTACTTGTAGAGACATTTCATCTCGGAACTTAAACTCAAAATGGAGTTAGTAGCTTACGGCAAGCCACGGTCTCACAGAAGGGTCACTCAGGCTTAGGTGTCCCCCAACAACTGCTGCTCTCAGCATCGTGGGGTAACAGAACAGAGCATAGCTTGTTTTCCACAGTTACACATGGAGAACATGGCCACAGGACATGGGTGTTTTGGGTGACGTCTCTATAGGTGGAGGGTTGCTGGTCAACAGCAGAAAAATCCTCCAAGATGAAGAAAATTCCCCAGTGCCTCATAATGACATGGTTCTAGAAAGTTCAGAAGAGGCGAGGAAGAACCCTCCCCTCAGGATAACAGGCCGCCAACCTCCACCACAAGGAGACAATACATTTCCACCTTTGAGGCCAGAGAGCGACAGGCTCTGGGTGCCAGCAGGACACCTTTTCAGATCCACCATGGGGAAGAATTTTCTAGATTGGAAGGTGCTTAATGGATGTTTGTTGCACAAGTGAAAAACAACAAGGGCTGAGAGGGTTTAAGACAGCGCCCTGGTGAGCCAGTCTCCCGGCCCACAGCCTGATTCGTGTCTGTCTCTGAGGACTCGCCTCCTAGGGAGAAGTCGCTATGTGAGCTTTAAGCCCATGGAAACCCACATGTGCCTCTAAGGGCTCTGCACCCTGGGACGGCTGCCAGATGCTGTTCAAAATAAAGCCCGAAACCCTTTTTGTTTTTAATATTTATTTTTTAGTTGTAGTTGACCCAATACCTTTATTTATTTGTTTTTATGTGGTGCTGAGGATCCAACCCAGGGCCTCACATGTGCTAGGCAAGCGCTCTACTGCTGAGCCACAGCCCCAGCCTCCCACCCAACCCTTTTCTTTTCGGTGGGAGGGGTAGGTTGAACCAGGGGCGCTCTACCCCGAGTTACAACCCCAGCCTTGCTTTTTTATTTTTTTAACCTTCCAACAGGATCTTGATAAATTGCCCAGGATAGCCTCTAACTTTCAATCCTCCTGCCTCAGTCTCCAGAGTTGCTGGGATTATAAACAAGTGCCACCATGCCCAGCCTCCAGGGGTGGGTTCCATTCGTCTCAGTGAGGCGGGATAAAGGAATAAAGGTGGGTAGAAAGGAGACGAGAGGAAGGACAAGGAGATTATAGCTTTAATCTAAAAGCTAAAGTTCCTCCCACCTGTCCTTCCCAGGCCAGTTCTTCCCCAGGCCTGTCACTCCCAAGTTTCTGGGCAATCTACAAATCTTCGCTCAGGATCTTAAACTTACTGGAATTTGCCCACTTATGAAATCCTGTGCACAGTTAATCAGCCCATGAATACCTGTATTTTTAGAATACACTAGGCAAAGAGAGATACAAAATCTATAATCCAGTATATTTCCCCAAAGTTATATAATGTCTAGATAACAGATAACATCGATCTAAGGACTCTGGGAACAACCAGACAACCATAAGCCATCTGTGACCACCAGACTAATGTCATCCCCCCATACCTTCCCATGCCCACCTCTCAGTTTCCTTTAAAAAGAAGTGCCTGAGTCCTCCAAAGTATGTCTCACCCTTAAGATGACCCGCGTCCTCCACTAAATGTGCACTGCTTGCTTTCCTGAACAAATTTGTTGGTGCCTCTCTCTGACATGTCTTGAAATTCCTTTCTGTGATGTTTGTCAGGGACCCTGTCATCTTGAGTTAAGGTCCCTCTCTAGAGGACCTCCTCAGATGCCCTCCAGTGATATGATAACCCTTCCTCAAAGCACACTTGACACAGGACTCAATACACCCCGCATGTAAGAGATACACCTGTAGGGACTGCTCTGCGGGAGGTAGGGGCCTCGAACCTCCTGCCCTGGGGACTCAGACAGGCTCCCCTGGCCTCTCCACCCTCTGGGCAGCCAATTCAGGAGTGCACTGCCCTCGAGCTCAGCTCTGCTAGCCTGAGGACAGCTGTCTTGGGGTACCTGGGAGGAGTAGCATGGTCCACAACCATGGCAAGGGTGGGCCTAGGGGCTCTGTCTGTGCAGTGGTCACCAAAGCTAAAAAGGGCATAAGTTGGTTTGGGGTGACGGCCTGGCCGACAGGCCTGTGCCTCATGACCTCTAAATGCTATCTTCTGCATCCAAAAATCCCCACATGCCTCAAGATGGCTGGTGGCCCAGCAGAGGCCTAGATGGTGCTTCCGGGTCAGAGGGAGGCTCCAGAGCCAGGTGGGTACCATCTGTTTCCCCGCACAGGGGTGTAGCTGGAGTACCTGTGGGTGAGGGGGGCTGGACAGACAGCAGAGGAGGGGAAAAACAGCCACTGGCACCACCCGATGGGCTCTGGGCCTCATGTTCCATGAGACAGAACCAAGACTCTGGGCCATGCAGCTCCCCCAAGGTGTGACCCACCCGCCTCAGCACCAGGGGCCCACCAACGGCCCACCCTCAGGTGTCACCTATCGCCTGCCAGTCAACTGTGTCCAGGATCCTGGGGCCGGGACTCTCTGTGTCTTCCCAGGGGCCTCTCCAGGGTGTGGCTGATCGAAGCAGGGACTAAGGGTGTGAGCCCAGCCCAGCCTCATCACCTGCAGGACTCTGACAAATGAGAACATTTATTTTCTTCTCCAAGACTTTGTGCAGATCCAGAGAGAAGACAACAGGACTTCTCCAGAGAGGCAGAATGGGAGCCACTGGGGAAAAGCCCACAGTCCCCAGGACTGGCAAGGTGTGAGCCAGGGACAGCGGGACCCCACAAGCTGGTGCCTTGCTGGAGGGCTGGAGACAGGGGTGGACACTTCAGAACCTGACATGGAAGCTCCTCCTTGGGGAGGACATGACGGGGGCTTCCAGAGGCTTTGGGGGGCGCAGAAGGGAAGAGGCGACAGCCATGGTGATCTCTGGCCTCTGCAGGGTGGACTGGGACCCCTCAGGCAGGGCTGAGGGGGAGGTCATGGAGGCTGACCTGGGCCACGAGGTGGAGGACCGAGGCCGCAGGGAGGAGCTGGAGTCCAGCAGCCTGAAAGTCGAGGCTGCTGGGGACAAGGAGGAGGAGTGGGAGGAGGTAGCAATGGGCGTGGTGTCCACAAACACCTGGTCCCTGGGAGGCTCAAGATCATGCGCCACCCAGCGGATGTGCCGGCCCTGCTGGTCAAGGACCCTGTGTATCAGGGAGTCGGGCGGCTGGACAGGAGTTAGCTCGTTGAAGAACAGGTTCTGGTAGATCTGAGGAGAGATCTGCAGGGGACAGAGCAGCGAGGTGGGGCACTGTGGGGGCTGAGGGCACCCAGGACCAAGAGCAGGACCTCTCACGGAAAAGAAATCTCCAAGTACCAAGGCTATCACCAATGCCCACAGCCCGAGGGCCACGCACCCTCTGCAGAAGGCCCGGTCCCGGCCCCCAGCTCTTCACGCTTGTTGGGTGTTCACCACAAGCTGTGAGGTGGGCACCAGCACCCGAGCTGTTCCCTTCTCACAATGAGGCCACTAGCCAGGCCCACAGTGGGCCCAGGGGCAGAGAGCTCCTCAGGTGTACCCCACCTCTCCGATTCACTCTCACGATGCCATGAGGACCCGCCCAGGATGGGGCAGGGGTGCAAAGTGAGCCCTCTCATGCCAACCTGCCCCACGCCCAGGAGAGGCCCTGCAGAAGCCTGTCATGTTCTCATTCATTCGTCCCCACAGAGAAGGAGGGGCTCTCAGAATGCCCCACGGCAAACAAGGAGGGGGAGGCTGGGCTGCCTTGGCCAGGGACCAGTGCGTGCTGCCACTGAGCCACCTCTCCCCCCCCCCCCCGGGGCTCCTTTCTCTCCCACTCCCTTCCATGGACCCCATCCCTTCCTGTGTCCCTGAGACCATGACACCCTGTGCCTGTTCTTGAGTGCCCACATCCTGAGGACATGGACAATGGACACGTGGAAAAGCAAATGAGCAACCACAGACTGTGGGAGCACTTGGGAGGCTCCAGATGTGCCAGACCCCAGAGAACCCCTCCCACAGACCTAATGACGTTTGTCCTCTAGGATGAAACCTGTGCCAACAGCCTCAACCAGGGCCAGACCAGGGCCGTGACAGCAGTCTGTGGCTTAGAATCCTGATAAAGGACAAATGTCCCCATCACTCCCATTGGAAGCCACACGGGCACCACGGCGGCCACCACAGGAGATGGGATCCCCTAACCTCCATTAGCCCCGCATCTCAGGGGCAGGCCCCACACACCCGTACCTGCCGCTTCATCCAGGTGTTCTGCACGCCACTGAACAGGACTTTGGGGTTCTGCAACCGTTCCTTGGGCTTAAACGCTGCCCCCACCACTTTGCTCACCTGCAAGAGTCTCAGGTGAGAGTGAAGGCCAAGTGCTGAGCCTGCACCTGCCTGACCTCCCCCAGCCTACCCTGCAGGAGTCTCAGGAGAGAGTGAAGGCTAAATGCTGGGCCTGCACCTGCCCCACCTCCCCCAGCCTCACCTGCTTGCCCTTGGACTCCCACTCACTCCAGCTGGCTTCGATGTCTTGCAGGGAGTGCTCGCCAGCCCACGGGGACATTGGGGCCATCCTGTGCAGCTTGGCCCAAGCCTCCGCCTCTGTATCTGCTCTGCCACTCAACAGTAACATCAGCGCCTCTTGCTCCCGCCGTTGGTACACCAGCGCCTCAGCCAGATCCCTGCTGTTAAGAGCTCACCTTCACAAGATGCCCCTCCTGCTGCCAGGAGTTAAGAGAGGAGCTCCCAGTCCCGGGCCTGTCCTCCCCAGCCTTTCCCCCTCCCCCGTCCCCAGGCCATGCTCCCAGGGCCCATCACTGAGAAAGCCTTCAATGGCACTGCAAAGCCCAGATGCAGTGGCCTCTGCAAGTCCTGCCATTCCCCCCACCACCCTGTGCTGTCCTCCATGGAGGCTGTACCCCATTCTAACCTCACCTGGACCTCCCCTGTGGAATATTCAAACACCCTCCCACCCCAGGGAAACCCTGCCTTCGCCTTGTTTCATATGTCCCCACAGGACTGCCTTGATGGGAGCACAGGCATCACACAGATTCCATGGATTTTGGCAAACTCCTACTGAAATGTCAAAACCCAAGTCTACAATCTCCCTTCCTAAGAAGCCTTCCTTACCTGTTCCACCCAATCAGGTGGCTTGACCTCTAAACCATCCCTATTCCTAAATCATCACATGGCATTGCAGACATGGGCTTGTATGTCTGCCTCCCTGTGAGTCCTCTTGAAGCGGGACCTGTTGCCTGGACTGTCTTGGATTTCTGGAAACTTAGCTTAAGGTCTGGAAGTCAGACCTCTGTGAACTCTTTTTAAGCAACCAAGATTATATGAGACTTGGTCAGGAATAAGGGTTGAGCAGATGGAGTGAGTGGGAAGAAGAACAGAGCCCCTCTTGCCTACAAAGCAAGGAAATAACACAAATGTCTGCTCGGGACCAGAGACTTGGATGTGGGCCTCGCACCCTCCTGCCAGGGACCTCTGACCATGTGGAAATGACCTCTGCTAGCCTGGCAAATCCAAGTCTGGCTCAGGGGGGCCCCATCTAGGTGCTTGGGGCTCTGATTTTCTCCCCTTACTGCTCAATCTTCCGGCCAAGCTGCGCTAGAACGAGGCTTGGGCTCCCAGCCACAGCTGCCACCTATAGAGTAAAACTGCCTGCAGGCCCCAAGCCTCTGGCCTTCCAAGGGCCCTCCCCAACCATGCCCAGCACTGCCCAACTCAGGGAGAGGTTCCTGGGACCTGGGGAGGCCTGCGGCACCCCTGCTCTAGCCAGGAAGAGTCGGGGCTGGCCAACTCACTGCAGCTCCTGGTGGGAGGCCTTGAGGAGGGTGCCTATGGAGTCGGACTTTTCCTCCACGCTTTCTCTCTGTTCATGAATACCATCCATTTTGGCATCCTGTAGTCTTTTCCAAACATTCAGGCCAAATGTCCCTGTGATTTGATCCAGACCAAGGACTGAAACACCCTCCCTGAAACCTTTGCCCTTAACGTCCACCCTCAAGTCAGCCAGTGATCCCTTAACCTGCCCCATGCAAATACTGGTGCCCCTCATGTGCCGGGTATTGTGCTGGGTACCCAAAAAGCATCTCGATGACCAGACACCAGTGTCTGGATAGGCTCAGTGCTCAGGCCTCAATCATCTTTCCACACGTGCAGATTGAGATGGAGGGGGACCAGGGCAATGGCACATGGCCCTCAGCTGGGCTCCAAGTGGGCATCTATCCTGCGAGACTTGAGGTAGACTAAAAAGAAGGCACTGAAAATACAGCAATAGGGCAACAGGAGTCCTATTTCTGGGCAGGGTGCAGTGAGTAGTGGCCATTCTCCTGCTGCCGATTTTTTTTTTTTTTGGGCGGGGGAGGTACTGAAGCTTGAACCCAGGGCCTTGAGCATGCTTGGTAAGCGTTCTACCACAGAACTGCACCCCCAGACCCAGAACTTTTTAAATTAATAAAAATACAGCAGACGGCTGGGGCTGGGCTCAGCGGCAGAAAGCTTGCCTAGCATGCATGAGGCACTGGGTTAGATCCTCAGCACCACGTAAAGGTGGACAAATAAAATAAGGGCATGTTGTCCATCTACAGCTACAAAAAAAAAAAAAAATTAAAAAACAATGTAGCAGATGTGTTACAAAGTCATACTTTAAAAAAAAAATCAGAGAGCTATAGAAGCAAGGAAAACTAAATGCACTAAAATTACGGAAAGGAGTCTTTCCATGCCAAATGGGGATGGGAACTGCTTCCTTGAGGCTTTTCTAGATCTGGGAATAGGCTGAGAGAGAGCTGGACTGGGTTTAGCAGAAGTAAACTACTGGAGGGGAAAGTCCAGTGGACTGTAAAGGTGCCTCTCATCCCATAGGATATCTGCTAAACAGTAGAGAGGCTGGGATGCGGGGAGGAATGAGGTCAGCAAGAGACAGAAGGGGACAGTAGGGAAGAATGAAGGAACTTTGGATTGTGCAGTGGGGAGTGGGGGAGAGGGGGAAGGACGATGGAATGAGATGGACATTACTACCCTATACACATGGATGATAACACTACCTGCGTGACTCTGCATCATGTTCAGGGAAAGGAAGGAGAAGCTGTGCTCCATTTTGTACAATGTGTCAAAATGCATTCTACTGGGGCTGGGGTTGCGGCTCAGTGGTAGAGCACTTGCCTGAGCATGTGTGAGGTACTGAGTTCGATTCTCAGCACCACATGTAAATAAATAAAAAATAAAGGTCCAACAACAACTAAAAAAAAATTTTTTAATTAAAAAAACAAAATGCATTCTACTATCATGTATAACAAATTCAAACAAATTAAAAAATTATAAAGAAGGATCTAAAGAAAAAAGGAGAGAGACAGAGTCCCACAGAAGGAAGAATCCTGTCACAAATAGAACTGACTTCATTCTGAGGCCACAGAAGGCAAAGTAAACCAAGTCTACCTAAAGCCACAGTGCAGCCCCAACCCAGCTCAATCCCCGCCGGATGAAGGTGTTCCACCCCACACAGAAGAAAGAACAAATGCTCTGGGGGAAAGTAATGTCATCTCCAGTCTCCGTAGTTCATTTGTACAAAGTTCACAAAAGTTTTGTTTTGTTTTATTGACATGAAGAGGCAGAAAAATATAATCAGTCATCAAAAGAAAAAAATAGACATTAGAAGCAGACCCTTCAGATGATTCAGACATCGGGGTTTGCAAATAAAGCCTTTAAAATGACTATTGCAAGCAGTGTTAAATAAAATAAAAGCAAGTGTAAGGAAAATACCTGTTGGAAAGAAGGAGAATTTCAACAGAAAGTTGTGACCTATAGAAAAGAATCAAGGGAAGTGCTCTAGAGCCCGATCTGCCTTCCCGGGGTCCTGTGTGCCCAGGTCTCAGGACTGAGTGGAAGAAGATTGACCAACAGCATGATGAAGAAAAGTTGGCCAGACTTGAGGCTCAGGTCTGGGGCAAGGGCACAGCCTACAGAAAGAAGCTACAGCTGATGACAAAAAGCTTCAGAGTTCTCTAAAAAAACTGGCTATGAATAACATAGCTGGTATGGAAGAGGTGAACATGGTTAAAGATGATGGGACAGTTATTCATTTCAACAATCCAAAATCCCAAGCTTCCTTGTCTGCTAATACCTCCACAATTACTGGTCATGCAGAAGCCAAACCAATCACAGAAATGCTTCCTGGAATCTTAAGTCACCTTGGTGCTGACAGCTCAGCAAACCTGGGAACAGTTCCCATGGTAAATACTGGACAGTAAAGCACCAAACCCAGAAGAACACATTGATGAAGAGGATAAAGATTTCCTAGATCTTGTAGAAAATTTTAATGAAGCATCAAAGAATGAAGCTAACTAAAAAATTTTTTTGGTATTTTGGAGCTAGACTCGATTAACAAATAAGCTTGTGGTTTCAAAGTTTTACAGACCCAGAGAATATTACCTGCTACTAGTTCTGTGATAAAAATATTTTGCATATTAATAATGCTATTTGTTCAGCATTTTTTGGTCATTTGAATTTGCATTTTGTACTTCTTCCCAGGACCTATTCTTTTGGTCAAAATATGAAGTATTGGTGCAGTTTGGAAAAAAGGAACCAAATAGGTCTGAGGATGTAGCACAGTGGTAGAGCAATTGCCTAGCACATGTGAGGCCCTAAGTTCAATCCCCAGTACCACAAATAAATTAATTAAATTAAATTAAAATAATAAAATGATATCTCCGATAACTCACTTGGGCTGTTCACCATGGCCCATGCCTATAATCCTTACTACTTGGGAGGCTGAGGTGAGAGGATCACAAGTTCAAGGGCAGTCTAGGCAGTTTAATTTAGCAAGATTCTGTCTCAAAATCAAAAAAAAAAAAATTAAGACTGGGGATGAAGCTCAGAGGTAGAATAAAAAAGAAAAAGAAAGAAAGAAGAGAAAACAGCTAGTTGGCTGGATTTAATAGCAGAACTTCATCCAGAAAAAAATTCATAAACTGGAAAGTGGTTCAGTAAAAAATATCCAGTCTGGAATATAGAAATTAGAAAAAAAGATAAAAAGAACAGAACAGAGCATGAAAACATAGAAGACAAGATAAATGGTCCAGCACACACACAGCTAGGAACCTACAAAGAGGGATAGGAGGAAAGAGGGCAGAAGCGACAGTAAAGGCATATAATATCTAAGAATTTTTCAAAACTGAAGATGTCAGCCCATATATTTAAAAAACAATCAGTGGACTCCAAACAGGATAAATACAAATAAAACACACTTAGGCCTGTAATGGTGAAATTGCTAAAAACACAAAAAAGAAAAAGAACCTTCAAAGAAGCAACATACAATTAACTTTTCAACAAAACACATGGAAACCAGAAGACAAGTGAAAAGAACTTTTTTTAAGTGTTAACAGAAAAGAAACTGCCAGGTGAGGACTTAACATGTAGTAAAATAGTCTTCAATGTTTAGGACAGAATAAAGATGTTTTGCCAGGTATGATGGCACATGCCTGTAATCACAATGACTCTGGAGGCTGAGGTAGGAAGGTCATAAGTTCAAGGCCAGCCTGGGTAACTTAGACTCTATCGCGAGATAAAAAATTAAAATGGCTGGTACGTATCTCAGTTGTAGAGCATCCCCAGTACTGTAAAGTAAGTTAGTTAGTTAAAAAATAAAAATGAAATAAAGATGCTTTAAGATAAATAAATATTTAGAGAATTTATTAGTGGCGCATAACACAATAAGAAATAAAGAGGTCTAGGGATGTAGCTCAGTAGTACAGCACTTACCCAACATGGGCAAAGCCATGGTTGGGTTCAATCCCCATTATTGGCGTGAAAGAAAAAGAAGAAAGTTCTTCACGCTGAAGGTAAATGATTTACGAACATCCTAGAACCAGAACTTCAAGAATGAAGAGTATCAAATATGTCAAATATCTGGGTAAATGTGAAAGAAAACTGCCTAACCCAACATCAGGACAAATGTCTTAAAGGGAGACAGAACATAGGTACAAGTACAATATATGATCATAGCCTAACAGCTGGAGAGGGGAAGGTAATATCTTCCATAGACATAGTACTAAGAGTGTATATAATAATCTCTAGCCATAGATTATTGATAAAACAATATTTTTCTTAATAGATAATATAAAATAAAATTTAAATAATAAAGGAGATAAAACAAAATAATAGAAAAGATAAACAAAGTAATTTAAAAATATTTGATTCATCTAAAAGAAGAAAAGAGGATCAAAAACCAGATGTGATAAACAGAAAATAAATTAAACTGATTGTGGAGAATGAAAGAGCCCCTAATCCTGCGGTAAAGGTGTTGGTGCTGCATGGGTCTCGGCCAATGATAGACCCAGCTACAGAAGTAATTAATATTTTAATGGACTAAATATCAAGTTAAGAAGCATAGATTGCCAAACAAGATGAAAAAAAATAAGACTCAACTATACAGTGTTTAAAAGAGGCACAATTAGGGGGTTGTAGATGTAGCTCAGTGGTAGAGTGAACCCTTAGCCTGCATGGGGTCCTGGGTTCAAACCCCAGCACTCCCCAAAAAATAAGTAAATAAATACAACAAAATAGGCACACTTAAATACAAGGATAGACTGAAAGTTTCTTTTTAAATGTTAAAAAAGGGCTGGGGTTCTGGCTCAGTGGTAGAGCACCTGCCTAGCACGTGTGAGGCCCTGGGTTCGATCCTCAGCACCACATAAAAATAAACAAAGTTATGTCCATCTACAACTAATAAAATATTAAAAAACAAATAGATAAATGATAAAATATGTAGTGACGTTAAAGGTGGTGGGACCTTTAACAGATGAGATCTCATGAAAGGTGGTTATGATACTGGGAGCATTACCCTCAGAAGGGATTCATGCTGGTTTCCTGGGTGAATTAGTTCTCTGAAAGTGGTCTTATAAAAAGAGAGCTGGCCTCTCCCAAGTCTCTGGCTTCCT